ACAGGTAGGGCTTCAGGGTTGGTGCCGGACTATGAAGCTGCCAACCGAGTTTTGGTTTGTTGGATTTTAGTGCTTCGGGTCTGCGGTTTTGGGGTTTAGGGTTTAGGGTTTAGGGTTTGCGGTTTTGGGGTTTAGGGTTTAGGGTTTACGGTTTGGGGTTTAGGGTTTAGGGTTTAGGGTCGTGCAGCTTGCCGTTGAACGCTTCGGTCTTACATGGCAAGATTCAAGTTTCAGGGTGGAAGGTTATCACTATTGACATGTTTATTCTCACGACTATGACTATGCCTATGACTGTGATTATGGTGCTTATTATGATAAACAACTATTACTGTTATCGTTGCGACTGTAGCTCTTATTGTTGCTATCATCTTGTTTATTTCTTTTTTACTCTTATTTTTTGCTTCTATTAGCATGATTACTAGTCTTATTACTCCTATTATCACTTTTGTGCGTATTGTTACAGATTGCGAAACATTGTTATTTGTTATATGTTGTTATTCTAAGTCTTAGTCTAATTTTGATTATCAGTATTATGATTAGGTAGTTTGACTGCGAATATGCTTATTGTTAATCTTACTACCGTTAGTTTTGCTCCTTTCTGATTTTTGGGTTGCGGGTTCCGGAATGGCCGTGATCTGAGCAAGGCCAACTCGTTAGATGCAGTAATGTAGGGACCTTAACAATTAGAATAGGGTTTTGGGGCCCATTATGCTATAAATAAAATAAGGAGCCCCCAAACTAGTGTTAGTAATTATTTAGGCCCCTACGTTAGTCCTCAGCCACCGAAGCCACCACGCTAAGGAACGGGACAGCGATCGCCCATCCACCTCGGATCGAGGAGCGGAGTGTTGGAAACCCCAGACGTAGCATCTTATACTAGAACTATAACAAGGAACTCCCCAAAGAGGCATAGGTAATTATGTAGGTCGCTACATTAACGCGATGGTGATGGTTACAATACTAATATAGCTACAGTCAAAACCGTTATCACTACTACCACTGCTATCACTACCAGCTAGTATGGTTTTAGACTCATAAAATGGCCGCACTGAAGGCCGAAAGAGGGCAGCCGTGTAGAGTTGTGGGTTTCGGGTTTAGGGACGGCAGGCCCCGAAATTTTTGACGCGCTAGAAGTTTCTGATTTAGAGTTCAGGGTTTAGGAGCCCAGTGCGTACAGGTGTTATCTATTGGGATGTCAAGCTGTTTCCTATCTTCTTGACTTCAAGTAGTTGCCACCCAAGAACAGCACAACACCCTGAACTCTCACTCTCATTCACCTTAAACCCTAAACCCTAAACCCTAAACCCTAAACCCTAAACCCTAAACCCTAAACCCTAAACCCTAAACACCCTAAACCCTAAATCCTAAAGTGGTTGCTGGGCCTGGCTCTTCGGGCACCCATCGAAAGTCGCATCCCCGCATGAGGCTTCCTGAAGGGGTTCCCTAAACCCCTAAACCCCTAAAGTTTAGGGGTTTAAGGGTTTAGGGGTTTAGGGTTTAGGGTTTAGGGTTTAGGGCTTTAGGGTTTAGGGCTTTAGGGTTTGAGGGTTTAACCCCTAAACCCTAAACCCTAAACCCCTACACTCCGAAGCCCTAAACCCTTAGACCCTACACCCGAAACGCCAACCTGAAACCCGAGAGCTATGGGGCATTTAGTAGGTTCCGGTTTGGAAGGTAGGAAGTATGAAGTTTCGGGTTCAGGTTTTGCTTGGAGATTCAGTGGATGAGCCTAAACCGAAGCCCGCAACCCTTAGCCGGATGTAGGCTTGGGGGCTGCGGGTTTAGAGCCTAGCTTTGGTGGTTTAAGGGTTTAGGGTTTAGGAGTAGCCCGAAACCCTAAACCCTAAACGGAGGATCCGGGCTTTCGGATGAAGTGGGCTGCTCATCGAAATTTACTGTCCATGCATGTGTGCCCTGGAAGGAGCCGTATCCAAATGCTGCTTTGCTGGATTGTGCTATGTTCTTGTAGTCTAGAGTTCGTGCTTCTACAGGTTCGGCCACTTAGACATCCCTAAACGCTTGAGCCCTAAGCCGTAAGACACCCCGACACTGAACCCTAAACCCTTCAGGAACCCTTAAACCCTAAACCCTAAACCCTAAACTCTTTTCCTGAAACCCTGAGCTCCGCCCAACTCCACAAGCATCGAAAGTCACCTCCGGATTTTGAAGTAACTCGACATAATGTTTAAAGAGAAGGCTTCTCTACTCGTTCGGGAGGCACAGAAAAGTATGGATCCCCGAAAAAAGTCCTCCTTACAGAGACCCCTTTCACAAGCGCGCCGAATGTTTGGAAGCCCCTGATATAATGAAGGGGCCTAAATAATGAACTAAAGTATTTTCGGGGTTCCTGATTATACTTATAGTAGATTGGGGCCCCCAAACCCTGTTCGAATTATTAAGGCCCCTACATTACCCCATGTTCTGTCGAACGAGAGGTTTCAGAGATAGAGATGGAGATAGAGAGAGAGAGAGAGAGAGAGAGACAGAGAGAGGGAGAGAGAGAGAGAGAGAGAGAGTGAGCCCAGCGCTACACGAGGAAAGAGTCCAGTGAAGGTCTCTCCTGACCTGATGGTGGAGGGTAGGTAGGACAACTCTAATGTAGGGGCCTAAATAATTACCTACAGCATTTTGGGGGTTCCTTATTATAAATATAGTACAATATGCCCCAAAACCTTGTTCTAATTATTAAGGCCCCTACATTTGCTTCATTCCGCTGCATGTTCCACAAGCCAAGGACGTGGTTGCGAAGACGAACGTAGAGTGGGTGGAGTGCCCCGTCTGCACAGCTCTGGCAACTCCTGGCTGGGTTGATTGCAGGTGCTTCAGTAAGCAGAGGTGTCGTTCTGTTATTCCCTTGTCATTCTTATAGTGAGGTGTGTCAATGTTGCCACATTGCGTTTGTTTGTTTTAGTTGTTCACCCTCTACACTAGGGCGTCAGGGCGCGCCGCAAGAGGCGTATATGCATTCTGTGGAAGGTGGGACTACGCCGACCTCATGGATGCCATGAAGGCAGTGCAAACTGCTCGGTGTTTCGCTTCCTCCTCCATCGTTGTGGCGAGGCAGTGTAAGCAGAAAGTCTGAGTCACGAATTTACTAAGAAGCATGACTGTCCCAAGCTCTGTGTACCTGAACCCATCAGTTCCAGCATCTTTGTTAACGATTGTTGTGTCTCGCTTGAAGCCCTTCCGGGTGAACATTTTAGAGAATGCATGCGTGTAGCTTGATTCTAGCATGCACTATTCGTCCTTGCCGGGCTTCAAGCGGTTCCTTGGCCCTAAGCGCTCAACCCTCAGCCCTCAAGCCAAAACCGACACGTTAAACTGCCAAATCCTCAACCCTAAACACCCCAAACACAGCAGACAAAGCCCTCAACCCCAAACCCAGAAGCTAAACCTAAGCCCGAAACTCTAAACCCCAGACCCCACATCCTTAACCCCAGAGCCTAAACCCGAAATCCTAAACCCTCAGCCCCACGCCCAGGAGGCTAAACTCTAAACTCTAAACCTTTCAAGACGGTACTCCGCCGTACTCCGCCTGTTGAAGCCTCAACCCTTAGACCCTGAACCCCAAACCCGAGACCTAAACCTCAAGCCCCAAAACCCTGAACCTTCAACAATCCCAAACGCCAGACCCAAGCCCATCAACCCTGAAACCTTCATGGGAACCCTTATCTCCCTATTATCTCCTCCTTATGCCCTGAACCCTACACCCCATAAGAGCCTAAGCCACTTTTAAGGAACCCAATGCAAACAGCCCTAAACCCTATACCCCATAAAAGCCTGAGCCCCTTTTAAGGAACCCAATTCAAATAGCCCTAAACCCTACACCCTAAACCCCTTTTAAGGAGCCCAATTCAAACAGCCCACTTCAAACAGCCCTAAACCCTAAACCCTAAACCCCCTTTTAAGGGACCCAGTTCAAACAGTACCCATCGAACCAGGAGGATCCCACTATCCAAGCGAGCGTCGTCTCCATCCTCTTCCACGAGGCCTGAGTGCTGCTTTTTGTGGGGTTTAGGTTCAGGGTTCAGGGTTGCCGTTTTAGGGTTTAGGGTTCAGGGTTTAGGGTTCAGGGTTTAGGGTTTAGGGTTCAGGGTTTAGGGTGCAGGGTTTAGGGTTTAGGGTTCTGGTTTAGGGCTCCTGTTCGTGGGTCCCGTTCCTGAAACGGCAGGGTTTAGGGTGAAGAGGTCTAAGCCTTTAGGCTTCAGCTTTTGTTTGATGAGGGTGTTTTGTGATTAGCTTATAGGTCCCATGAGGCAAGTAACAGGGGCATGTAGTTCCAACCGTCAGACATACTTCATATAAACTTCCTAAAACCATAAACCCTAAACCCTATACACTATACTATACACGCTAACCCAAGTTACCTGTTCAGCATATTCCCTCACGATGGCGAATGTTCACTTGGACTCGTCAGTACACTGATGCTTTCCTGCATACTTTTCAGCGCCATAGTCAAGTGTCTCTTCAACAAAGAAAAAGGGAAAATTCGCCTCGACCGCTTCCGTCGAGCACGTTGAGTGTCATGGGTTCTCGGATTCTCGGGAGATGGAGGAGACTTTGAGCGGTCAGCAGCCGAGCTTTTCGTTTGACGGCCGTCCTTGCGACCGAAACGCAGAAGTTCCTCTAGTTCGCGAAGCCCGCGTCGGTCACCACCTTCTGATGATAGTCGACTTGCAGTGGATTCGGAAGGGAACCTTGTTGAAGTTCTGTCGCAGCCGGATGATGGTATTCCACGTGGACCTCCGCCGCCTGTACCAGTCAAGGGATGGATCGGGGTCCACATCTGCACCTGTGGAGTTTCCCCTCTGCCGCCTGTGACTGAAACGTTGCAGGGCATATGGCGTGAGCCGGACCGATGACTCATCCTCTACCACTTCGACAACGACAGGAGAAAAGGTGGGATACAGCGTGCAGATCACCTTGACCACTATGGGCACAGACCTGGATTTGATGTGGGGGCATTGTCTTTGATTTGGACAACCTAAACCTTAAGCCTCAAAGTGAGGCCATGGGCCTGTGAGAGGGCTATGAGACTAGAAAGCTTCAGGTGTCGGGTTTCGGATTCGGGTTAGGGTTCCTTTAAAGGGATCTACACGGATTCTAGAAGGTTATAAACGGATCCGTAAGGGATCTGCAAGGTACTATAGGGTTTGGGGTTTAAGGCTTATTTGGGATGTTGGGGTTCAGGATTCAGGCTCAGGCAGGGGTTAGGAGGGTTTGGGGTTTATTCAGGGTTTAAGGTTTATTTAGGGTTTAGAGGGCTTGGTCTTAGGATTCGGCATTCGTGTCAACTCCTAGATTTTCGGGTTCAGGAGGGGACGCTAGGGCTGTGCTGCCTGCATTCGGCGATTCTTGTATCACGGTTAGAACACGGTACAACTTGCCTCTAAAACCTGGTAATACAAAAAGCCTAACCAAGAAGCAACGTCATCCTCTAAGTACCTAATATATCTACACTATAATATACAACCAAAACCCTCTTCCAATTATAAAGGTCCCTATCTTACCCAAGCCTCAAAACCTTGCCAGATGGTGGACTATGTTCGTCTGGACAACCCGACGCAGCGAAGCCGCTTTGCTATGGTTTTAATCCCAAGCTCGTAGACTGCACACCCCCAAGCCCAACGCCCGCTATATTCCTTAGACTCATGATAGTACTTATGCTCGCAGTAGTTATGACAAAAGAATAGTGACAGTAGCATGGAGGTGTGCTGCTAGTGCGTGAGCCGGTGGACCAAGCTCATAAAGCAGTCCCGCAAACACATGAGACAGGAGTTTCGGGATTTCCGGTGGTTCATTAGGGTGGAGGGACGCTGAAGGCCAAGCCCTTCGCAGTTTGTGTCGAACGACTTGGGTCTAAGAGTTGTAGGATGTAGCGTTGGGCGGTAGGAAACGTTAAAGGCTCTGACACCCTGAGTCGCAAGACCCAAAAGCTTAGATAAGTTAATCTCATAACCTTAACAACATCACGACTAAACCTGGTAGGCCCGAACCTTAAATCCCCAAGCCGCAGGCCTGACACCCTCCAACCGCCTACACGACGAAGGAGTGAATTACCTTCATCCGAATCCCTTTTGAAACCCTCCTAGAACCTTAGAGAACGCTTGTAAGCCTTTCTGCAGCTTGTAAAGTCCTTATGGAATCTTTAAAGCTTATAAAGCACCGCTTGGAACCGTAATGCAACCCTGGGCACATAGGGCGCCACGTTAAATAATGCACTTCATTCAGCGAGATTTCCAGGGTTTCTGCTGCATTTCAGGCGCGGGGAAAAGAAAGGGGAGGCGAGGGGTGGCTTAATAGCGGTTGCAGAATTGAAGGACAAGGTCCGGGTGTTCACTGCTAAGCCACAGCAGGCGTCCGATTGGTCGCAACCGTGGTGCATCGAAGCGAGTGACATGAGCACCTCTGCGTCATCGCCATGAGCAGAACCTCGGCCAAACCTACATTTCCTCTCGAGTTCGCGCTGTTCCAAGAGAACATGGCGCTATCCTGGGTTGCCTTGGCGCCGTCAGCCGTCAACATCCTCGTGGGTGTGGCGGCAAAACAGCTGCAGCTCAGTAGCTCCACATGTTGTCTGCGTTGCTCCACCGGAACCCATAATTTCTGGAGCCACACGTGCGCGAATGAAAGACCATGACGATGACTTTGTGCTAATGCTGATGCTGCTGCTGATGATGATGGTGACTAGCACGGTGACTAGTGTTGTATTGTTTATGTTTATGATGATGGTGATCATGATGACGATGGTGATGATGATGATAATGATGTTGATGATGATGATGGTGATGATGATGATGACGGTTGGTCAGAAGATAGCTATTGTTACGATTTTTGTGGTGACGAAGATGATGACCATGATCATGAGGATAATGATGATGATGCTGCTGCTGGTGATGATGATNNTGATGATGATGATGATCGCGCTGATTATGCGGATGGCTGATGATGGCCTCTGTTACTTGTATGATGACGGTCGCACATGAGCATCGTGATTAAGATCAAGATGACGGTTGTGATTATGAGGGTGATGACTATGATGATGATGCTCATGATGACGATGATGACGGTGATGAT